TGGGACGTCTTGGACGCTGGTACGACCGAAAAACAAGTTCGCTAAACTTATACGGCTTCCTAAAAGGAATGGTACGGTCTTCGCCTCTTGGGGCCGTCTTGGGGGTCCTTTTGGAGCCGTCTTGGGGCGCCTTGGGCCGTCTTGGACTCCCTTGGAATTGATCTGGAAGCTCTGGGGGGTCCCGGGTAGACTCCGCGGAAGCTCTGGGGAGGCTCAGGGGAGACCCCAGGAGGGGAGGGGGCCCTTAGGTGACTCTGGGTGACCCTGGTGTGCTTCAGCCCCGGGGCCTCCAAAGTAGGTTTCTGATCTATGAAGAAAAAACTAGAACCACACGCGCGCTGCGCGCGAGCCTTGCTTCTAGCAAGATGTGGCGACTGTCCAGGGTTCGCAGCATCGGAGCGCAGAAGTACTTCTATCAATCATGATTAATCAGCAAGTCGTACCCTCCATCTATGTCCCCACGGATGCATTCCATGAACCCCAATCGACCTTAATCCTGCATTCTCCCCTCAGCAAGCCCTCTCACTCCCTCTCTTTTCCACCCCTCCTTTTGGCGGACCAATGGAATCACATTCCACGCGGCAGAAAAGCTGTTGCGGGCGCGGTGGACGTGCTGCACTCGGCGTGCAACGCGACACAGTATTTTCTTTGTCGACGCGGTGGACGTGTTCCACTCGGCGTGCAACAATAAAAATACAGCTGGCCGCAGGTCTAAAAAGGATTCCGCATGATCCCACTTAAGCTGGCTGCATGCCCTTTTACCATTTCCAGAGGGGCGCCTCGAGAAAACAACGCACACACGCACAGCAGCAGCTCGTGTGTCCACCGGGGGGGAGGCGGGGGGACGGGCCCCTATGCTTAATCCACCCGCTTGAAGCAGCCGCTAAAAACAGCCAAGATTTGGTCGTTTGGAAAGGGGAGGGGGCCGAATGGGGCCGATGGCCGAATGGGGCCGAATGGGGCCGATTTCGACACACCCCTCCCGCACTCTACGCCTACGCAAGGCCTAGACGACCCAGAGCGTCCAAGGCCCACCTGGAGCAAACCCAATACCAACTGCCCAATGCCTGCCCACGAACCCCAAAGCCTGCCCAAGGTCAGCCCGACGGCCTATCCAATGTCTGCCTCAGGCCTACCTGGCGGCCTTTCAAGAGCTGATACATGGCCCACCCAGAGCCCAGTGAACGCCCGCCCACGACCCAGCCAAGGCTTACCAAATACTTGTCCAGGACCTACACAAGTCCTACGTCTAGCCAACCACATGCGAGCACCATAACGAATGTGAACACCCGAATGCGCGCGACCACCGTGCCCGCGCACGTCTTACAACCGCCGCGGAAATCTTGACAACGATGGGCTGTCATGAAGGGTTCTACGGTGCGCCCACCGTCGTCGTCCGCCGCGCAAAATTTGACAACGTTGGGCTGCCCTAAAGGGTTGAAAGGTACGCGGCAAAAAAATCGGCAACGAAATCTTCGATCCGACGGTCACCCCAGTCCCACGGCGACTGCCGGGACTGATCCAAGTATTCGCCTTCCTTCGTGGCGGCCTTGAAAAAAACACGCCCACCTAAAAAAGCCAGCGTCTCGCGTGAGATATCCCCAAATGCTGGGCGCCAACGGGCAAGTGTCCTACCCCGTGGTCGCTCCCCACTGTGGTGCCCAACAGCGTTGGTTGCGACAGCGCGAACACCACGCGGCCCTGAAAAAAACGCGTCTACATCCCTGAAACAAGCGAACCGCTGGAGACATCCCCACAATCTGGGCACGAACCGGATAGTGACCTATCCCCTGGCGGCATCCCCTTGTAGTGCCCAAGTGCTATGCCTGTCACATCGCGATGATTCTGATCGTGATATGGGAAAGGAGGAAGAGAGAGGAGGAGGAGGAGGAAGAGGAGGGAATGAGTAGACGACGGAGGCGCGACACGGAAAACAAGAATTCACGACGCAGAAAATGGAAATAAACGCCGCAACGTCCTCCACGAGACGTGCAACTGCCTGCACAACGATATCACCGTCAGACCCTTGTTCCGCACGCGTTCGACAGAAACTGGCGGCAATCAAACTGGCCCAATCTGCGGGGACATCGCTTCGATTTGACTTTCGTCAAACGTGCGTTTGATTCGCCCATGTCGTCCAGCCCCCCATCTGAACCAAGAAAGCCGGTTTCTACGGGGCGCACGTCTCAAGTGGGTGCCGTGGTTTTGAGCACACGCCCAACGACATGTTGGAGGTCAGTGCAAACGCTGGCGCGACCCACGCATGAAATCCCGCCACAGCCTCCGCCTCAGAAGAGGGGCCTTTTCCAGAGTAGGCGCGCAGAAGACTTCACGGATTTGTTCCTCCCGTGTCCAAGTATGAATCCTGGGCGGATATGATACCCTAGGCTTCTCCAGGTCCTAGGGTAGCCTGAGGTAGGGCTACCCTAAACCCTAGGGGTGCCGAACGAAACACGACCCTTGGGTGCGAAGGGTGGGCCTGGGATAAGCATACGGGCGAGCGGGTCTGTTTAAAGAGGTGGCCATCGCCTTAGCACAGCGCACATTCGTCATAAAATGTTGCCCGAGCTTCACGGATGGAGGACAGGTCCTTTTCAAAATGTGGTTTTCGCCTGAACGCCCTGCACATCCGTCTTCCAGCGTTCGACAAATCGTCACGTCCGATGGCGGGCGCCGCGCATGTTCGTCATAAAAGTTTGCCCGAGCTTCACGGATGGAGGGCAACTCCTTTTCGACATGTGGCTCTTGCCTGAACGCCCCGCACGTCCGTCTTCCAAGGTTCCAAAAAAACTTCACGGATCGATGGCGGATCGTTTTCAAAATGTGGAAATCGCCTTAGAACCGCACCCATTCGACTGAAAATGCTGAAGCCGTTTAACGGATAGACGGCGGCTCGTTTTCAATGTGTGGCTTTCGCTTAGGCGACACGCACATTCGTCTTAAAAGTCTGTGGCCGTTTCACGGATTGACGGCGGGTCGTCTTCAATGTGTGGCTCTCGCCTTAGCGCCACGCATGTTCGTCTGAAAAGTTTACAATATGTTAACGGAGTATTGTGGCCGACGTCGCAGAAATTGTGCTCCAGCACGATTTAGGATTGTCAAGGCACAACACTCACGGTGATGCGCGGATTTGAAGTCCCAAGAATGGTGTTCTGGCACGTTGCAGGATCGTCAGGACGGAACAATCGAGTTAATTCGCGGCGTTGAAATCCAAGGTGTGATGTTTGGCACGATTGAGGATTCTCGGGCGGTCATCTTCCAACGGGGCATTTCCAGCAGTTGAAATAAATTCTCGCAGGGGCATATGAAGGCGGGAACTTGCAGGGGGGATTATTGCAACATCGTTGATGCGCCTTGGGTTTACTCTGGTCCTCATCTTCCTGTTCCTCCTTTCTCGCAATGGTTTCCCCCCTTTGCGCTGCAGAGCGACCGGCATTATTTTTTTATTTTCGACAGGGCGTGGGCCATGGCCCGCCCGAAGAGTCAGTGATCTAAGATCAGGAGGGTATTAGCGCACTCACTGGCCACCGAAAGCCCGCTTCGAGTGACTCGCGCGGTGTTGCGCTCGCGCGGCCCGCGCCCCCGCCCCGTCGCAGAGGCGCGCAGAAGGACGCGCGGCGCGCGCCGACGCGCTCGAAGCCGAGAGCCGCTTCCTGGCGGCCAGCGGCAGACTGAGCCCGCGGGCGACGACGGGGGCGAATGGCCCAGGTGAGGGCCATGCATGTACTCTGGGTCTCTTGATAGGAGTGGAGGGTACCCCCCGACGGGGGTCAACATCGCCTCGTCGCCGCGCCGCGACGGGGGTCGGAGCGCCTTCGGCGCGCGGAGGCTGCCCGCGACGGGGATCGATGTGGGGCTGTCGGCGGGGGTGACGCCCCCCCGGCGCTTATCAAGAAACTCGGAGCATCCAGCGGCGCTAATGGTCCATGCCTTCGGCTAGGCTTCCTTGCGAATACGTATACTGCCCGCCCGTGGGCTCTTCGCCCCTGTCGCCGCCTCCGTCCAGCGGGGGGCGCCGTGCGGGGGAACGCCCAGAGGGGGGCGTCGGCGCGGTTTTGCCGAACGCGGGGCACCGACCGCCATGGCTTTCGGGCGTTCCCGTCAGTCTTCGCCGGTTTCAGCATGCGTGCTCGGCGTCGTCGACGTCGGCGTCGGCGTCGGCGTCGGAGCCCCGAGCCGTGACCCGAAAACGACCGGGGGACCGGTTCAGGGCGGGGGAACCTCGGACCGAGGCGGCGGCACATCGCCGATGGACCGGCGACAGGCCCCCGACAGCGAAGGCCTCACGGTCCTGGGCGGGCTGGGCCATCACGCCCCTATGGGCAATCCATAGGCGATCGGGGGTCGATGCATCGCCTCTGAGCCTAGCCACCCCACCCCCCGACGCTGCCCCCGAAGGAGCGTAGGGGGGAACCGAAAGCCGCTGGATGCAACGACTGCATGAGCAGCCGGAGTGGCGGACTGAGCGGTATCAGGGGCGGCCATGAGGGGGCGTCCCAGAGGGGGGGGGCGCAAATCATGGCCAGCGGCACGAGCGCGGCCCGAGGGGGAGCCAGGGACGCAATGAAAGAAGAAGAAGAAGAAGAGGCGCCATGAAATCTGGGGACATCTCATGGCCCACGCCATGAAATCGGCCCCCCCTAGTCATCACCTCCCTCTTGGCCGCCCCCGACGGGAGGGGGAAGAAGCTGGCATGGGCCTTCTCGGAGGACACCAACGGCTTCCCAGAAGGCGCGAGGGCCTCTGCGAAGCCCCGCCACCTTCTCCTCAGATGCCCGAGATGTGTGATGGAAACATCGGTGCGATGCCCAACAACAACCGTTGACCAAAAGCGACGGCGGCCGCTGGCCAGCAGGCGGCCTTCTGCCTCTCCAGTGGACGACGTCCGCGGCAGCACCGACAGCGAGCCCTGATCACGATCGTGCCGACTCTGACTCTCGGTAGGCCTGCCCCCCCTCGCTTCCTCCCCCCCCTCCCTGGCCCGCCGCCGACGAGGGCCGCTAGCTCGCCACCGAAGCAGTCCGGCGGCCTCGGCGCTGCACCGCGCACGCCGAGCCCCTGCCCTCGGGCCACTCCGGCGGCGCCGCGGCCCCGAGGGGCGCGGGGCCTCCGGGCCGGGCGCGGGCCGACGCCCTGACGTCGAGCAGCGTGGCCTTCAGCGTCCACAGCCGGAAGTCCTCGGCACCTGAGCGTCGCTCCACGGATCCCCGTTCCCACTGGCGCGGCCTCGGCCCCATTGGCCAACCTACCCATCTGGGTGGGGATTTCTGATCCAGGGCTCTGGCCCCCCCCCCCAATGCTGACGGTCTCGCCCTCCCCCCTTCGACCGTGGCCCTGCGGGCGTGGCGCGGTGGTGGGTGCCAGTGCCCCCCCCCCTCTCCCCCTGTTGTGTGCTGTGTGAGGTGGATCGTCGTCGTCGTCGGCGTTGGCGTCGGCGTCGGCCGTCGGCGTTGGCGTCAGCATCGGCCGTCGGCGTCGTCGTCGTCGTCGACGTCGTCGCCGCCGCCGTCGTCGTCGTCGGCGTCGGCGTCGGCATCGGCGTCGGCGTCGGCGTCGGCGTCGGCCGTCGTCATCGTCGTCGTCGTCGGCGTCGTCACCGCCGCCGTCGTCGTCGTCGTCGTCGTTGTCGTCGTCCTCGTCCTCGTCGTCGTCGTCGTCGTCGTCGTCGTCGGCGTCGGCGTCGGCGTCAGCGTCGGCGTCAGAGTCGGCGTCGGCGTCGGCCGTCGGCGTTGGCGTCGGCGTTGGCGTCGGCGTCGTCGTCGTCGGCGGCGGCGACGACGGCATCGTCGGCGATGTCGCCGCCGTCGTCGTCGTTGTCAACGTCGTCGACGGCGGCGTCGCGGCGTAGGCGTCGGCGTCGGCGTCGGCGTTTCGGCGTCGGCGTTTCGGCGTCGGCGTCGGGATCGGCGTCGTCGTCTTCGTCGTCTTTGTCAACGTCGTCGTCGTCTTCGTCGGCGTTGGCGTCGGTTTCGGCGTCGGCGTCGGCGTCGGCGTCGCTGGCGTCGTTGTCGTCGTCATTGGCATCGGCGTGGGCTACGCCGTCGTCGTCAACGTCGTCGCCGACGTCGCCGTCGTCCTCCGTCGGCGTCGGCGTCGGCGTCGTCGCCGTCGTCGTCGCGGCATCGTCGTCGTCGTCGTCATCGGCGTCGGCGTCGTCGTCGGGGTTGGCGTCGGCGTCACCGTCGTCGTCGCATCGGCGTCGTCGTCGTCGTTGTCGTCAACGTCGTCGCCGTCGTCTTATGTCGTCGTCGTCGCCGCCGTCGTCACGTCATCGTCGTCGTGATCGGCGTCGGCGTCGTCGTCGTCATCGGCGTCGTCGTCGTCGCCAACGTCGCCGCCGTCGTCTGTCGTCGTCGTCGTCGCCGCCGCCGCCGCCGCCGCCGCCACCGCCGTCATCGTCGTCGTCGTCGTCGTCGTCGTCCCCCCCATCCCATCTGCAGGGGGAGGCTTGTGGAACCCTGGGACCCATCCCGCCTGTGATCCCTCGACCTGGGATCATTCCTATTCATATATCTTTATAGTGCCCGGGACCCCAGAAAAAGCGCCCCCCCTAACGAAACTGACCCGCCCTGGGCCGTTCGGGCAACCCCCCAGACGACCTGGGAGGACCCTCGCGAGAGCCCGAAGACGGCCCCAAAGGGCTCCCGAAGTTCCGGCGCGCTCCAGAAACGACCCCAAAGAGCCCCAAAACGGTCGATGACGACCCCAAAGGAGCCGTCATGCCCCCAAAGATCGCTCCAAAACGTCCCAAGAGGCCTCCAAGAATACTCCCACAGGGCCCTAAGAGGCAAAATTCATTGATTTTCTGGTGGTTTGTGGGGGATTTGAAACTTCTCCCCTTTACAGCTTCCCGACGCTCCAAGACGGCCCACGAGGCCCCCAAGATCGCCCTAAGACGGCCCGAAAGACCTCCAAGAGGGCCCCAAACCGACCCAAGAGTGCCCCAAACCAGCCCAGAGGGCCCCAGACAGTTCCGACAGGGCCCCGGGAGGCCCCAGGAGGTTCCCAAGAAGCCCCGAAGAGGCCCCAGGAGGCCCCCAAGAGGTGCCCAGGAAGCCCCAAGAGGTCCCGAAGAGTCCCAAAAGATCCCGCAGGGACCCCAGAGAAGTTCGAAGACGCCCGAAAAGGCCCCCACGACAGGCCCAAAACGGGCCAGGAGCTCGAACATGACCCCAAGACAGCACAACAGAGCCAATACGCGCTCCAAGACGGGCCCCAGCCATAAAGGGACTACACCGCGTCCCACAGAGGCCCTCAGAAGGCTCTGGAAGGCTCCAAAAAGGTCCACGTGACGTTAACACTCTGAACGCGAGGCCTCCCAAGAGCGAACGGCGGCGCAAAACAACTTCAGCGTCGAGACGATGGAGCCCCGCTGCGACACGTCCCGAGGCCACCCAAGGCCCTTACACGGCTTCTTCCATAGTCCCAAAGACACGGTCATTGGTAAACCCAGATCGCCGTTTCACACTCTGCCGGGTCCTCCATGCCGTCTCCAAACCAAGTCTCTCGACACTCGCAAGCCTTTCACTGCGTTTCTTGCGTCAACCCCCTCTGTGGCCACGACAGCGTACACGTATATAATCATGCATATGAATACGCGCAGATCTACCCAAGTAGATATGATACATGCATAAATATATATATATATATGTGTGAAAGCACAAATATGTACATATGAACATATATATGCACCTACAAACAAACATACATATACATCATATACACATACATACATATACATGCATACGTACATACCTACATATATACATACATACATGCATGCATACATACATACATGCATACATATAGATATACATACATACATACATACATTCATACATACATGCATGCATGCATGCATGTATGCATACATGCATACATACACAGCTATACATATATGCATGCATACATACATACATACGTACCTACCTACCTACCTACATACATACATACATACATACATACATGCATACATGCATGCACACATGCATATGTGCATACGTATATACATACATACCTGCATACATACATACGTACATACATAGGGACAGACAGACAGACAGACAGACAGTACATACATACATACATGCATACATACATGCATACGACCATACATGTATATATACATATATATATATATATAGATTCACATATACATACACACATATATACACGCATGCATACATACATACGTACATACATACATACATATGCATATATATATACATACATACATGCACGCATGCATGCATACATACATACATGCATACATACACATATGCATATACATAGACATATGCATATACATATACATATACATATACCTATACATATACACATACATATACATAAATATAAACATACATGCATACATACATACATGCATGCATGCATACATACATACATACACTACATACACATACACATACATGTACATACATACATACGTACATCGATATAGTCACGCACGTGTATACATACACACACACCTATATGTCTATATATATGGCGTGCATACAAGTGCGCGCGCATTACATGTATGCACATATTCGCGCGCGCATGTGCATCTGCACGCACGTCGCCCGTGTGCAAAACTTGAAGGACCAAGGTGCATTGCGCGAAGCGCCACTGCAGCCTTGTATACACGTGTATATATATATATATATATCTAGATGATGCTCCCTTCGAGTTTCGCGTGGCCTGTCGCCACCTTGGAGGATGGGATGCGGGCTGATGGACCTGAGGTACCATGGCCTGACGAGGACGGGAATAGGTTAGACGATGCTGAGCACCGTCGTTGTGGCCAATGCTGATCTCGATTGTGGCCAGGAGCGAGCCACTTAGGAGGGGCCGCTTGATGCGCACGTCCTTGCACACCCTCGAGAAAGTGAAGTCGCCCTTTTGGTACGCGCTGTTGAACACAACCTGCGTCTCCGTGATGAAAGCCTCCTCGTCGATCACCAAGTCCAGCATCCTGAGGTTGGCCGCGGGAAGCCCGACAAGTGCGGGGAAGCTATGAGAGCATCCGGTGACACGGTAGCCGCTCTCAAACATGCTGAAATACACCTCCATTTCCTCGAGCATGACGAATTCATCGACGGACTCATCGATACTCTCGGCGACGGAGCACGACGACCGCTGAGAACACCCGCGACGCTTCCTGAGAACCTTGGTGTCCCGCAGCTCGACCTTCGCCGTCCACAGCTGCGCTTCCGCGGTGGCATCGTTGTGGAGCAGCGAGAGCACGGCCTCCGCGCTCAGCTCCCTGCGGAGCCGGTGCAGGTGAGGCGGCCTCAGCCTCACCTGCACGGCTCGCTGCGCGTGTATGCCCTGCCCCTCGCGAAGAGCGTCCCTGCGAAGCTCCTCCACGCAGTCGATGAAGCTCGCTGTGCCGACGACCCACTCCAGCAGCCTCGCCCCCAGCACCGACGGTCCGCTCAGCCAGGTGAAGCCAATGGAGCACTTCTCCACGGGGTAGCCCGTCTCGAAAAGCCTGAAGTATACGGCCAGGTCCTCGCCATCGCCCTCCAGTTCCAGTGTCCTTATGCTCTCGACGTCAGACGGCGCGGGCTCCACTGGCGGCGCGTTGATGGTGGTGACTGGCGGAACCTTCGAGTCTGGAGGCATCCTGAAGGTCTCCGTGTCCTCTCGCAGAGGTCGCCCAAAACAACGTCTTGTGTTCTCGCTTCGCTTTTCCAGAGGACACAACGCAATGCGATCGGCTCCGAATGGTCCCTGGAAAGAGCTCAAAGCGTGAACCCCAAACAACATTTTGGCCGATCCCTGTCCTCTCGCACACCCACAACGTGGAAGACGTGATCGTCGAAGTCCTGGCCGCAAACGTGGAAAAGCTGGACCGATACGATGACCCCGTTTGCGTCCCTCATGGACGAGTGGAGAGTGTCCGCCCCGACCGTTTCGCGGCGTAGGAATGCCCGTATCCGGTCGGACTCGTCCTCGCTCGAAAAAACGTCGAGGAAGGATACACCCTGCATCCCACCGCAGGAAGACTAGAGGAACCAACAATGGCATAAGCACGAATATTTGGAGCTTCTCGCAGATTTGTTGGATCGGGGCCCCCCCTTCCATTGGCGCGCGAAGCGCGCTAGGGACGACGCCAGAGGCGCCGCCAGCGGGGGGGTCGGCGCCGACCAAAGAAATCTACGCGGACCTCCGAAAGTTTGTGGTTGTGCTGTTCTTGCTCTTCTGAGCATTGACGGAGGAGCAGCGCGGCCAGGTGAGGCGATGGCTGGGTGATTCGCAGGTCCTCTCCCATATGCACCACCGCGTCGCACAGCCGGGTGAGAAGACCATCCGCCGCGACCTCCACGCTATGGGACATCCTGGCTTCCAGCACGGCCCTGAACTGCGCGTACCGCACGCAGTCTAGACCATAAATGATGGCCAACGTGATGCAGCAGTGAACAACATGGAAATTAATATGCCACTCTGCATGATAACACCAGCAGCTCACTGCAGAAAGCACCACGTTCAAGCATGTGGCCGTCCAAGGCTCTCCGAGCATGACGCTGGCCCCGAGGCGCGTTGGCGCCGTAATGGCAACCCAAGAGGCGAAGTCCGTCTCGCTCCGCATAAAAGCCTCGATGGTAAGGCGCAAGTACACCATAGAAACTCCTACACGAATGCATGAGGGATTGATGAGCCGTGGGAACGCGAGAAAAAGCAACGTCATAAGTTGCCTGAATAGGATCATCAACCATGGGGACAATAGCTCTGCTACGTCCTCGCCGGACGATCTCCCGTACCAGGACCAAGCCAGTACTGTCCATACGCGGTTGCGGATGAAATCATTGAGCAATAGCCATGTATTCTGGGCCAGTCCAATGGGCAACATGAAAGCGAAGACTTCGAGACGGGACCGGATTATCATCTGTCGTATCTTCTGGTCGAGAGGATCCTGCCCAGAGGGTAGCACAGTCTTCCTCACAACAGAAACAAGTGCATTCCAACACGCACGCGGTCCATACTTGTAAGTAGCGCAGATACTCTCCGTGGGAAGAGACCGAAAAATGAGGTGGCATGCGAAACCGGCCTGCGCAACAGCAGAAACCAGCATAACATGGAGCGCGAGCATGGCAATCGGCATTCGGGCGCGTGACAGCCTGGTCCTGACCTAGGCGCCCTTGCGCAAGCTGCCAGCTTGAGCGCTGATCCTGTAGTCAAAACGGCTACGCATCCAAGAACAACTGGCCTCTCAGAACTTCTGGAGTGTTGACACGACAAACAATAAACAACCATTTGCAAATCCTACCGCAGCGGGTCAGACTTTTGAAAAACTGGCTGGGCAACACCTCCAAGATGTCTGCAGCCAAGTGAGCCCCAGCCAGGGTGCCCGATATCCCCGCATCGATTGGACACACCAGGTAGGGTTCGCAAGTGGCCGAAGAGACAAGTCCGTGGCCCAAGGTGTCCCCAATTCCAGGGCCGCTTTGGAGCCTCGATTTCTTCCGGTCCTCGACTAGAGCCCTTTGGGGCGACCGTGGACTCCCTGCCAGCCCGGTTGGCGCCTCGAGCCAGAATCGTCTCGACAAAGCGCCCGAGGAAGACGGAGCGCCCCCCGCAGCATCACAGCCCGCCTCCCGGCCCAGACAATCCTCAGAGGCCAGGTGGGAAGCCCGACCTGTCCACGCTCGGATTGACAGCATGAGGCGGGGAATCAGTCGAAAGGGGTTCCCACACAGGACATCCTCGCAGTTCACTCACGGACGAAGTTCCCGTTCAAGACGTACTCAAGATTCAGGCCTCCAGAGCCCAAAAGTGACAACATTTACAGGTTTGGCATGACCCCGCTCGAATTTGAAGGGCAGGGACACCACAAGGAGGGGTTCTGGCTCGAGACACTCTCGTGATTCACTCACAGACAAGGCTCCAGCTCGAGACTTCATCAAGATTCAGCCCTGAGGAGCCCGAAAGCGACGACGGTCGGCGGGGACCCTGTATACACGGGCTCTGACTCGAAACATCCTCGAAATTCACTTACAAACGATGCTCCCGCTCGAGAAGTCCTCCTGACTCAAGCCTCAAAAGGCCAAAAAGTGACGACCGTTACAAGCTTTGTGGGACCGACTCGGATCAGAAACATTTGGCGGGAACACATACAGGGGGTTCCCGGTCGAGATGCCCTCTCACAATTTACCCACAGACGGCACTCCCGCTAGACACTTCCATAAAATTCAGCTTCAAGGATGGAGGGCGGATTTCTATGATGCATTACTTTGTATGTGTGGATGCAAAATGTGTATATATATATACACACCTATACGTATACATTTACATATGTAAACATATATATATATATATATATATAAATATATATAAAAAAAAACATATGTATATATATATACACATACATACATACATACATACATACATACATACATACATACATACATACATACATACATACATACATACATACATACATGCATGCATGCATACATACATACATACATACATCGCCTGATACATATGTGTACAAATATACAAAAGAGCGTGATCCACCGCCGCTTTACTGTGGAAAATTGCCCACCTTTTCCTCCGGAACCCGGGGGTCCCCCCCCCCCCCTCCGAAAATCCCCCCCCCCCCTCTGGAAGCCCCCTCCCCCCCCCCCCTCGAAAACCGGGGGGGGTCACTACCGGTTCGAACCCCCCCCCCTCGAAAACCGGAGGGGGTCACTACCGGTTCGAACCCCTCCCCACCCCCCCACTCACCGCCAGCAAACGACTCCCGGTCCCTACCACCGTCCGCATCACATCCTCCACTGTTGTTCCCAGCACCACTGTCCTCACCACCACTGTCCCCACTGTGTCCCCACCAGTGCCCCCACCACTGTCGCACTGTCCCCACTGTCCCCACCACTGTTCCCACCACGGTTCCACTCTCCCCACTGTCTCCACGGCCCCAACCACTGCCCGACTATCCCCACTGTCCCCACTGTCCCACTGACTCCTCCGCTGTCCCACTGAGCTGTCCCACTGTTCCCACCACTGTCCCCACTGTCCCCACCACTGTCCCCACTGTACCTCTGTCCCATTGTCCCACCGCCGTCCTCGCCACCGCCTTCACCACTGTCCCCACCACCATTGTACCCTCCACTGTCCCACTGTTTCCACCTCATTCCCACTGTCCCCACACCACTGTCCCCACCACCACCGCCCCCACCACTGTCCACTGTCCCCCCCGTTCCCACCATTGTCCCCACCACTGTCCCCACCACTACCGTCCCCACCACTGTCCCACTGTCCCACTGTCCCCACCAGTCCCGCTGTCCCCTCACCACATCAACACCGCCCCCACCTCTGTCCGCACCCCCACTCGGTTTTCGAAGGGGGGGGGGGGGTTCGAACCGGCAGTGACCCCCCCCCCCTTTTCATGAGGAGCTGGGGGGGGGGGGGAGGGATTCGAACCGGCAGTGACCCCCCCCCGGTTTTCCGGAGGGGAGGGGGGGGGGAGGGGTTCGAACTGGTAGTGACCCCCCCCGTTTTCCGCCAGCAGCGGTAGAACACGCTCTTTCAAATATACAGGTGCACACACATGTACTTATCCACATCTAAATACGTGTACGTAGACATTCACATATACCTATACATATACATATGCATATACATATGCATATGCATATACATATACATATACACATACCTTAAAATGTACAAATATGTATAGCTATACTTATCCATATACATATACGTATACGTATACACATGCACATATATACATATGGTTATGTATACACAAATATATGTATATATATATATATACGTGTATGTGTATATGTGTGTACGTGTACATGTACATATACATGGGCATGAACATATGCATACGTATGTGTATATATATATATATATATATATGTACACATGTACATGTACACAAACATAAACATATATGGGTACACCTACATACACATATGCATTTACAGTTACGTATATAACTACATATACAAATACATATATATATATGTGTATATACATATATATATATATAATCATACATGCATACACTTATATGTGTACGTAAAAATATACAGATATGTATATATACAATCGTATAAAGTCACACGTATATACATGTATACGTGTATATGTATACATAACTATGTACATGTATAAACATATAAACATCGCCATACGAAAACCTAAACTTGTGCCTATACAAATGCAGACACATAGACATAGATATATACAAATACATATACATAGACATTTACATGCACGTATACATTTACATATGCATGTTCCTATACAACGGCATGTACATATACATGTCTCTATACATATACTGTCAGCGCTATGAAGATCGTTTTGGGATGTTGTGGGATGTTGTGGGACCGCAGCCCTCTTGGTTCGAGAGAATATATATATATATAATATATATATATATATATATATATATATATATATATAGCGACTCCGTGGGGGATGCCGCGCATGGTAGCGGAGCCCGTGGCCTGAGATCCACGGGTTCGGCGTCGGACGCGCGAGCCCAGCAGCCCAGCGGGAAGCACCGCGGGCTGCGGAGGGCAGCCTAGCAGCCCAGCGGGGACCTCCGCAGGCTGCGGAGGGCAGCCGCGCAGCCTAGCAGCCCAGCCGGGCTGCGGAGGGCAGCCTAGCAGCCCAGCGGGGACCTCCGCGGACTGCGGAGGGCAGCAGCTCAGCCTAGCGGCCCAGCGAGAAGCACCGCGGAGGGCGCGCGGAACGCAGCCCAGATCCCTTGCAGGCCGAGGCAGGAGCCTCGGCGGGCGCGACAGCGACGGGGCGGAAGAAGCAGAAGAAGCAGCGCGGGCGGCGGCGGTCGGAGGACGCCGCCTGGCGACAGCAGCGACGCGGAGACGTCTGCAGGCTGTTGGAGTCGGCGCTGCGCCTCGTCGAGAAGATCGTCGGGCGCGAGCTCGACCTGCCAACGTTCACGCACCGTGTGTTCGGGAACGTCGTCTTCGACAAGGAGCCTGGTCACGCGCGGCCGCTCGACGTCGTGGACGAGGACGGCAACTCCCTCATACCCCACGAGTGCGAGGCCTACGCGGCCTTCGTAGCGTGGAAGTCCAGGGATGGGCGAGGAGCTGCGAGCAGCAGCGGCGCAACAGGCAGCGGGCGACCCCGCGGCCGCGGCCGCAGCTGCAGCAGGAGCCTTGCCGCAGCAGCAGCAGCCGACGGCCCTGCAGGTTCTGGATGCGCTGCGGACGGCAACGGCTCGAGCGGAAGCTGCAGAGAAGCGAACCCAGGAGCTGGAGGCGCGAGCAGAGACGGCAACCGGACAGCAGAACGCTCAGCTTGAGCAGCTTCAGCAAGCGCTGTAGCAGCTGACCGCCGCGGGGGACACCGCTGCGGCGAGCCCAGCGCCAACGAGGAGCGAGGATCGTCGGAAGTGGGGCATCATCGACACGAAGCTGCTGACGAAGCCAGCCCATTACAAGGGCAGCGAGGCAGCGTGGCCCGCGCGGTCGCGGCGTACATTGCGACGCTGGACGACGCGCTGCATCAGGAGATGAGCCAGGCAGAAGGCCGAAAAAGATGTCACCAACGAGGCGTTGGACGTGACGAACCCAGCGCCCGTCGGCGCGTCTCGGCAGCTGCACCACAAGCTCGTGCTGCTCCTCGAAGGCAAGGCGTCCGCCATGCAGCGGCCGATCCCAAAGGGCGAAGAACTGCTGGTGTGGCGCAAGCTCGCGAAGGAGTTCGAGCCCGACCAGCCAGCATCAGCTCTGGGTCGGATGAGGAACCTGATGGGGTGGACTCTCGGAGCGGCGGCGATCGAGACGGACATAAACGAGTTCGACGCGGCGGTCCAGACGCACGAGCGGCACGGCAGCGCGGTGCCCAGCGACATCAAGGCGGTGATCCTCATAGCGGGGATCCAGGACGGGGACCTTCAGCAGTGGCTGATGGTCAACGCCGACCGCCTCGGGGACTATGACGGGATCGCGAAGCACGTGAAGACGTACCTGACGAACAGGAAGACGTTCATGGGCGCTGCAAGAGGCACCGCAACGGGAGCCACCGCGGCGGACGAAAGCGGACCAGCACCGATGGACATCGGGTCCCTCCGACAATGTTGGCAGCAGGAAGGATGGCGCAAGCCGAGGT